CTTATACCTGGGCCTCATCAGCTGCAGTCACACCGGGAGCTCATCCCCCAATCAACCGCAAGGACCAGGAAAGAGTGCAGGATTGGCTTAGGCCCGACCTTGTTCTTCTTGCCTGGAAAGTGTCCTGCAAGGGAAGGGATTCCCCAGTGCTCTGAACTTGGGTCTCAGTACTTCCTGTGCCATGGAGGCTCTGCTGTCTCTAACCGAGCTGTTTACCAATTTTATTTATTTTTGTCTTTACGTGTGTGGTGCACACACCCATGAGCCTGCAGATGCCAGTGGTTGGCATGGGGTCTTCCTCTACCACTTTCCATCGTGTGTGTGTGTGTGTGTGTGTGTGTGTTTTCCAGGCAAGTTCATTTCACACATACTCATATGTCTAATTGCACCAAAAGGGTATTTTTTTGTTGTCGTTTTTGATTTTTGTTTTTCCAAACAGAAAACTGGCACTGTCAAATAAGTCAGCGTTGAGGTCGCAGTAACTAGAGAAGTGATTGACAGCTCAGGGCGGTCAGCCTTCAGGGTTCACAGATTCCTCTCAGGCCACACAGCCCGCCGCCCCGTGACAGCAATTAAACCAACCAGCCACACAGACACTGACTGATGCAGGTTACACGATTCTAGAAACCCAAGTGCTGAGCTTCACAAACATTTGAAAAACGTAAATACTTTTTTTTGTTACAGTATTGCTTCAGTGAAGCTCCTGAATTACCTGTGAGAGAACACCATCCCAGCGCCTGAGGGGAGGGGACAGTCAGCACTTGGTGCAGTGACCTTTCCCTTTTCCTCGGACTTAGCCGGCCCTTCAGGACACACAGGACATTGCCTATCATTTCTGTCTTCTAGGACTGTGGCTGCTCGGCAGTTGACACATCACACTGCCACACAGTCTAGGGTACAAGATGTTTTTGATGGAAGACAAGGATTTTTCTGGAGGCAGAAGAAAGATGGCGGACAGTGTCTTAAGTGTCACTTAAGGTGTGTCTTTTTTTAATGAAGATATGTGTTATATAAATGCCCACGTGCGGAAGAGCTTGCAGAAGAGTTGCTCATTAGAGAGTGTGTCCTGATGGTGAGGGGCATGTGAACCTGAAACAGACGGGACCTAAGTTCCTGGGACCTTGTAGTCAGGTCGATGATGACCGAGGCCTATGGTGAGGCAGCAGCCGTTGTGACTATGGAGGATATTTTAAAATAAATATTTATGAGTTAGTTTTGAATGTCTAGTTTTACTGGAAATTAGGAAGCTTGAAGCAGGAAGCATAATTTCCAGGTGCCTTGATCAAATGACACACTGCAGGAGTATTGACTGAGCATCTGAGGACAAGTTCGGGGAGCTACTTAATTTTTTTAGATAGGACCTCACACTGAACCTGGATTCCACTGATTGGCTGTTAGAGCTGGCCTATGAGCTCTCACTGTCCCCCTGCACTGGGGTCACATGTGTGCTAAGACACTCAGCTTTTTACACGGGTGTTGGGATCCGAACCCAGGTCTTCATGCTTGCACGGCAAGCTCTTTACCCAGGAACCATCTTCCTGATGCCTGCTCTTGTTTAGATACGGCTCTTGGGGAAGGCAGGTCTTCTTGTGTCAAGTGTGGCCTCCCAACCAGTGGCCAGGTCCTGTTCTCATCACCCGAATCAACCTCACACTTGTTCCCTGCCTTCTGGTGACAAAGTACAACATATATAACCGGCTTTCCTTAGGGTGAGGCCTCAGGTGTCCAGAACTAGCTCAGTGTCCCCTTAATTTAGGCTTGGGAACTGCAACCTGACAGGGTTGGGAGGAGGAACCGGGTAGGAAGGAAGTTAAGCCCTAGCAGAGCGGATGGGCAGTGACCCCTCACAGAGAGTAAGCAGCCTGCTGTAGCATACATAGCCTCTGAGGGTGGCTGCCAGGCCCGCCTGAGTTTGAAGGGCAAAGGCTGGTGCAGATGTCCCTGAAGGTTCCAGGTCACCGAACAAAGATCCCACTCAAGAGTCCTGAGATTGCACAGAGAACTCTGCCTCCAAGAGGGAGGGCACAGATATTTTGAAGTACAGTCCTGTGAGAAATTGTCTTTCAGCTCTTTGACACTCCTTCCCAGGGTCTCCACAGACCACTGTCTTCTTCCTGCCTCTAAAGCTTAGAGCGGCCCAGCTGTCAGCCATGAGGGAGAATTCTCGAGATATTTTTTCCCTCAAAGTAGAAAAAGGCCCAGTGGTTATGTGTGTGAAGGGTTCTCTGTATCCTGGCTAATAAAATAGGAGGACATAGGTAGCTATGTGTTCCCCTCCCCCCACACCCGGTTTGGTTTACTCTGGGCGCATTTATGGAATTATTTCTTGATACACTCTGTGAGCGGCACTTTTTATTTCTTAAACCCCGAGAAGGATGAGGCAGAAATAGGAAAATGTCTTTGGTACTTTGAAGGAAATGACAAATCGTTTCCCTTCCTGGAGGCAGAGAAGATGAAAAGAGAAATGGCGCAGTCTCCCCCTGGTGGTCAGTAGGGGGCACAACACTGGGAAGTGTCTAGACGCCGGCTGTGTGAAGGCAGGCTGATCATTTCTTTGGGAAGCTGTATGGCTGAGTGCCACGTGGGGAAGAGGTGGGGCATCACTTTCCCCATTTTGTGTGTTTTTTTTAAAGATTTATTATGTATACAACATTCTGCCTCGATGTATGCCCGCACGCTAGAGGAGGGTGCCAGATCTCAGTGCAGATGGTTATGAGTCACCATGTGGTTGCTGGGAATTGAACTCAGGACCTCTGGAAGAGCAGCCAGTGCTCTTAACCTCTGAGCCATCTCTCCAGCCCCACCCCCATTTTGTGTTTTTCAAGTAACAAACCATGGTGGGAGGGAGGTGACAAGCCAGGTCCCTAATGATCACAACTTGCTCTGGGCCCTCTTTCTGTTTGGGTCATCTGGCGAGGGGGGTGGTACAAGGGACGGACACGTGGACATTAGACCACTGACTGTGGTCTTACTGGTGAGACTGTCCCACCTTAGCAGGCTGCTCTCCACATGAGCTTTGGGGCGACCAGGAAAACTGGAGACCATCACAAATGCCCTTTATCAGATGACTTATCAGTACAAGTTGTGCTACTACAAGGATGGGAAATAATACACAAAAAATGTCAGCGCTTAGGAAGGACAAATACATCTATTAAGAGGCCACTGATGGGGAGGCCAGACTGAGCTGTATAGTGAGACCCTGTCTCAAAAGAGACAGACAACCCTTAACTGTCAAAGTCGCGGGAATCAAGGATTTTTTCCCAGATAAGGAAATTGGGGTTCAGTGACATTATACTCAGAATGAGGCAGAAAGTTCCAGAGTGGAAGCGTGGGACCTCTGCTCTAGATGTCGAAGGCCTTTAGAGGCACGGTGCCACGTTAAGGAATTACTGGGGTCATGTGCTGGAGACCTGATCCTTCTCTGTCTTCAGTGTAGACTTGCAGGGACAAGAAGCCCTTCTTCGGTGCCCACTCCTGCCACTTTCTTGCCCCACACCCGTGCTGCTCAGAGCTGGTCAGGTCAGCCCTGACACTCCTCCAAGGAGCAGCTCATCCCTAGGCTGGTAGGAAACAGGGCAGAGGGCAGCCCCTCTGAGCAGGAAGCACAGTTTTTGTCTTTCTGTCTGAGACAGGTCTCATTGAACAGCCCAGCTGGCCTGGAAGTCAGTGTAGCCCAGACTGTCCTCACCTGGATTAATCCTCTTGCCTCAGCATCCTAGGGGTTGAGATTACATGTGCGAACCAGCGCACTCAGAGGAAGTGCTTAGAGCAGTCAGCTCCACTGTGGAGTGTGTCCTTCAGAAACAAAGACGATCCCAGGGGAGCAGGAAGACGCTCATGACAGAGGACAGAGGCAGAGAGGAGCCGTGTTTCATGGATGCAGTCTTCGGAACCCCTGGATTCCACTTTACAGAGAGGCCTGACCCTGCTATCAGGTCGAAAATATCCTTGTGTTCATGTAAGCCTGGCTCTGCAGTGCAGTATAGTCTGTGTCTCCATCTGTCTGTCTGTCTGTCTGTTTCTCTACCTGTGCCTAATTCACAAGGGAGGAAAGTGAAGCACTGAGATTGTGTGACTTGTTCGGGTCATACAGCTGACTGGCTCCATAGCCTTTGTCCCCAGTGACTGTCATGGGTGCTACCAGCTTCTCTGTGTGCTCAAGGATGGCTCAAGACCTTCTGGGATTGCCTTACAATCCTCATCTTGTTCTGCCACCCACTCTTCAGTCTGTTGCCCAGTGGGCCCCTTGCTGGTACTGTACCTCCCCATCACCTGCCCCATCACCCCCCTTCATCAGTCTGCTGCCCAGTGGGCCCCTTGCTGGTACTGTATGGCCCCATCACCTCCCTGCTCTGAGCATCTGTCTGCTCAGTCACAAATAACCACCTGATCCTCCAACCTCCTCTGGGCAGGAGGGTCCTCTCTCTGTTGTGCTACACACGAATACACGTCACATATACAACGTCTCGTGTAGCCCAGGCTGTACTCAAACTGGCCACGTAGCTGATCACTGATCCTTCTGCCTCTACCTCCTGAGTGCTGGGATTGCAGGCATGCGGTATCATGCCCAGTTTATGTGGTGTTAGGGATCTAACTCGGGGCTCTATGACCATCGAAGCTACATCGCCATCTCTTTCCTGATTCTTGTCCACATGACATGCCCTCCCTTGCCAAAGGACGTCCAGAAGTGACTTTCTGGAATCGGGAAGAAAAATGATCCGGGGATGAAATATAAATGACATTGCAGAAAGCCACTGTGTTCCACAGTCTTGTGCGTTCAAGGCACCAAAACTGGAGCATCTCTTGAAGGTCCCCAGGGCCCACGGTGTATGCCCTTTTCCCCCTCAGTGATGTCACACTGAGAGGCAGAGGGGTTCTGGATGTTTCCTCCCTCAAAGTTGTCTGTAGTCACCAACAAGCCTCCGGGCAGGAACTGCAGCAGCAGCGAGGGAAGGACTGACTGGCAGTTCAGATAAACCTGGAGAGAGCCCATAGCCTTTGTCAAGTTTATTTTATTAAAATATATAGGACTGAATATTGGTGGGCCCCTGAGACAGGAACCCCCCTCCCAGGCTGCACTCAAGGGAGACGCTTCTGCCATGCAGACATGCGGCCAGTCTGTGTCCCTGCAAGGGGTACAGACCCCTCCTGGTTGGGCGTGCAGCCAGAGGCTAAGGGGTGGGGTGGGTTAGAGCTGAGTAGTAACTTTCTCCCTTGGCCTTGGCTTCTCACCAGTGTAGGAACCCCAGTGGGAGGGACCAGGCTGGGGGAGGGGAGGTCCCTGAGCCAGGGAAAGCTGATGGCCTCTATATGGGGTAAAGGGGTCCCCAGTCAGGATGGAGATGGGGTCAGTGTAGCCCTGAGAAGGGGATCCACCTGTGTATGGGGGGCCATGGTCACCCTGCCTATCCTCTAAGGGCCCCCCTTAGCCATGGGCTGACCTTCTCGGGGAACACCATGGACTCTCGGAGCTGGGCCTGAGCAGAGACTAGGCTGCAGTTGATGGAATGTACTCTGTGGGAATGTTCCTTTGGGGAACATGCTGCCTGGGACTTAGTCCCTTATGGGGGAGGCCTGGGCAGGCAGGAGAGGCTCTCTCTCCTCCTGAGGGTCTGCCGACCTGTTGCCTGGTCACAGGCCCCCAGTTCTCATGGCTAGCTTCAACTTAGAGCTGACATGGCCTCCCATTCCCAGGGGGCAGCCCAGGCAAGCACAGTCCTTGGTTTGTGCTTTAGAATGTTGGCGAGCTGGGCTGGGAAAGAGCTCTGAGACCCCACGGCTCTGAGGCACAGGATGGATTCCGAGCATCTTCCTCATGCCACCGAGTCAGGGCTGAGGAGAGCCAGGTCTCCCCCAATCAGGGGCCCCTGCCTCCTCTGTGGGCCTGGCCTGAGCTGTTAGGGTGTTTGTGCTTTTTTTTGGGTTGGGATGAGCCTATTCAAGGGCAGCCACAGAGCTGTGAAAGATCTGCCGTGCCAAGGAACTGGGTGGCAAGTGGCCAGGGAAGAGGAGGGGAATACCCCTACCAGGCCTTTCCCATTACAGTCCAGCTTCTTGGTTATCAGTTCCTGAGCCAGGTGACCCCTCCCCACCAGAACCAAAGAGTACCTTGGAGAGGCCAGCCTGGTGCTGGGCGCTGCAAGAGCTCCGCCCACCACATCCCCATTGGCCAGTTGATGTTCCATCACCCAATAGTGTGGACAAATTGTTCCCCCAGCTTCTCCAAAAACCTCAATCCTGCTCTGTTCTTTAAGGACATAGCCCAGTGGTCCCTCATGATCTAAGCTCACCCCAAAATAGGTGATCTGGTACTGGGGTTCCAGGACCCCAGAGGAACATCAGCGTGAAGCTGCAGGCTCAGCTTCTATCATTATTTCTCCCCTGCTCAGACCTCTTCCCTCTGGGCCCCTGTATGGTTTCTGGGAGCTTCCTAGGAACATGGGTCCATGGGCAGGGAGTAGCCTGGTCTCCCAAGTGGTAGAAAGGACAGAAGGGACCCCCAGAGGCAGTCCCATTTATTGATCTGGGAAGAACTAGGAGTACCTTCTGGCTGCCACCTCCTCTGCCAAGTCAGAGAAACCATGTGTGTGTGTGTGTGTGTGTGTGTGTGTGTGAGAGAGAGAGAGAGAGAGAGAGACAGAGAGAGAGAGAGACAGAGAGAGAGAGACAGAGAGAGAGAGACAGAGAGAGAGAGAGACAGAGAGAGAGACAGAGAGAGAGACAGAGTGAGAGAGAAAGACTCTGTCTGTGTCTGTCTTGGTAGTAAACTGCTCAGTTTTTGCAAATATATTAGAAAAATGTTTCTCATAGAGGCCGCTTGTATGAGGCAGGATTGAGGCTTCTCCAGGCTGAGAAGCAATGACCACTCAGGGTCCCCTCCCATGTGTCCTAGATGACATTCTCAAACAGCTGCATGGAGTTCATGATGTTCTCATCCTGTATGAAGAAAGGAGAGGCTGGTCAGGAGCTGGGGGCAGGGCAGTGGTATTCCCCAATCCTGACTAACTGCAGATTCCTGTCAGAGACTATGTCTCACTGGGCAGGTGGGGTACCGAGGGCCAGAGAAATGGGGAGTAGCTGATCCCAGAGCCCAAGTGGCAAGGTGCAGCCTGTCCGCCCTAGGGATGGACTGCAGGGCCTGGTCATGGCTGCTGCACAAAAATCTCCTAGCTGCAAGTCAGGTCAGGGACCAGGGTTGATGGAGAGGCAGGAGGCGGTGGTGTGCGTTTCCTGTCTCCATGGACTCTGAGAGGAGGGCCAGCAGCAGAGCCAAGAAAGCTCTGGATGCCTTTCCCTTAGTGTGATTCTGTCTGGGGGGTACACTGGGCTAATCACCCCTCTGCTGACCCCACACTGCTCTCTGATTGGAGATGACCTGAGAATCGCTGAGAGAGGTCTGGGAGTCAGGACAGGGTAGACGAGGGAGAGACAAATTCAGGGAACACCAAGGTGATGGACACAGGAAAGATGGAAGATTCCCAGAAAGGTGGGGCCTGAGGGCAGCTAATGCCATCCTCCATGTGCCCTGACAGGAACAGGATCCTGTGTGTGAGGAGGGAGGGAGGGGAATACAGAGAAACAGAGAGAAAGACATGCACACGCATGCCCATACACACACATACATACATACACACACACACACACACACACACAAACACACACACACACAAACACAGAGACCACAGAGGAACCAGATGCCGCCTACCTTCTGACAGGTCTCCAGAAACTCGTCAATGGTCACCACTCCATCCTGGTTCCTGTCCATTTTCTGCAACCCAAACCATGCCCAAGGTAAGCCTGTCTCCCTTAGGGCCTTCCCCTACTCCAGCCTGAGTACACTGTTGGAGTTGGGGTGGGGCCTTCTTCCAGTTCTACTGGTCCCTCCATTTCCCATCCTTCCCAGCCAACCTTACTCTAAGGTCTCCTCAGGTGGCCTGCTGAGGGGGCTCTTTGCTGGCTCACCTTAGTTTAGTCCCAGAATTCCCTCTGTGCCTATCTAACCCCTCAACTTTGGGATAAAAGCCAGCACTTTAGAGGCACCGAATGACGCAAGTAAAATGGAACCATTGGTTCCTTCTGCGCCTCCAGAATGGGGGCAACTTCAGCACTATTCAGGTAGGGTGGGAGGAGGAGAGCTTGCTTCAAATATGTCCCAAAAGGCACTAAAATACTGGACCCTGTGTGGGTACCAGCTGCCTCTACACGTAGGGGCCCAGAATACTTCATTTTCCAGATGAAGTTCATTGGGACAGGGCCTGGGTTTCATTCATTCTCCCAAAGGATTCCGGCAATCAGCTGGGGCGGGGAGCCCATCTGAGGCTCAGTGCGGATTAGAGGCTCACTAGGGTTGCCCCGCCCCCATCGAAGGTCAGGGCTCACATACCTGGAAGAACCTCTCCACATGCTCCAGGGGTGCGTCCTCCCGCAGGATGGGGTAGGTGTGGCGGCCCATCATGTCGTAGATGGATTTCATGATGGCCAGCATCTCCTGGAAGACAGAGGGCTGCATGAGCTGCTTCCACTGCAGGGACACCAAGCCACCACCAGGGCAGTGGTGAGTGAGTCTGAGGCACCTGGGAGCTACAGAGAGTGTCTGGCCCTACCTGTCCAATGACTGCTAAGAGAAACTGGAGATAGACTTTCATGTACCTGTCTCTAAGACAAGAAGCTAGAGTAACTATTTCAGATAAAAATGTTTGGGCCAAACCAGACCATCCCTGGGACTGTGTGGCAAGGTCACTAGGCAGGGCTGAGAATCACCAAGCTAGTGGCATCAGGAGAAAAGGGAAGCCAGGAGCTCAGGAGAGTAGAGACAGGCATGTCTGCCAACTCAGTACCTCTTTGGTGATGTAACCATCCTTGTTAATGTCATAGAGATTGAAGGCCCACTTGAGCTTCTCATGGACCGTCCCTCGGAGCAGGATGGAGAGCCCAACCACGAAGTCCTGTAGAGAAGAAGGAGGGTGAGGAATAGTAGCCATGGCTGGGGCTCCCTTCTAGCCCACCAGGTGACTCCCACTGGAAGTCACACTCCCTCAAATGAGGGTCTTCCACAGTCTAGAGGTGGATATGTCCATTCAGGTGGCCAGCCTGTGAGTGTGTGTGCACGTGTGCAAGATTGTCTGTGCTTCTGTGTGTGAGCACATGCATAACTGTGCCTGTGTACCCCACGGCAGTGTGTGTGTGTGTGTGTGTGTGTGTGTGTGTGTGTGCGCGCACAGTTATCAATACTGAGTCCAGCAGAGATCCAGCTGTTAGTTTGGTATCCTGTGCTTATTTCCCGCCTTTCTGCTGTCTGGGGGCTCCTTCAGCCCAAGGGAGAGTTCTACATTAGTCCACTCAGCATCCACAAGTCAAAGGTCCTCAGACACTTTCAGTTTAACAAGCTCAAACTGGCAGGCTGCTGTCCCCTGTGGGTTGTGACAGTGGACATGACAGGATGCAACTGCCCACACAGCTGCATACGGATTCCAGCTGGAAGGCACGAGAAGCAAGCCCTCTTCCCCTCCCCACCACAGGGTCCTCTTTGGCTATTCTGAAAGGAAGACCTGTCCTGGGGAACTGCCCATGAAGCCTGCAAAGGGACAGGGTACAGCCTCAAAGGACTCAGCCCCTACGCCCAGATTAGACTTCCTGGCCACAAGGAAGCCCATACGACAAGAAGAAGAAACCAAGGGAAACAGAACAGCAATTTGTAAGGAACAGAACATTCTAGAAGGGGAAAAAAAAACCTGATGAAAACAAGGAGCTGCAGAGGTTAGAAACCTGGTATGCTTTACAATAAAAACAGGACACTGTTTATAAAAGAGGAGAGGGGAATGATCGAAGATCAAGACCAGAAAGACCTTGCTAGTTGGTAGGGATCAAAAATGATGAAAGAAGGTTTGGGGGAGCAAGCGGGGTCTTCCAAGAAGTGGACACACACACACACACACACACACACAGAGAGAGAGAGAGAGAGAGAGAGAGAGAGAGAGAGAGAGAGAGAGATCCTGGAGGATAGCACCAGGACAGAAAACCCAGGCAGAACCAGAGAAAAATGCAGCCAAGTGAGTCAGAGAAATTGGGAAAGATTTCCCCCAAAGACAAAGCTAAGTTCCCAGGCCCCACCCCCCATCCCGAGACTGGCACAGTGTGTGAGATCAACTACAGTTGAACCCCACGACACAAGTCCTGGTGAGACTCAGAAAAACTGGCTGCCAAGAGAGGGTTTCTAGAGAGAAACACAAAGCCAACTAGGAGAAGCCAATCAATATCAATCATCCATCCATCCATCCATCCATCCATCCGTCCATGCATCCATCCATCATCCTTGTCAATAAGGCCCCACACACCTGATCAGAATCATCTGGTGGGGCTGTTGAACAGTCCCTAGGGGACTGAAGCCTGAGGAACAACCTTCCCGGAAGTTCTAGTTGGTGCAGCAGGTGAAAGAGAGGAAGGGTAAAGGTATTTCCGGATATCCAGTGGCTCGAAAGTCACTTCCCACACACTCTTTCCAATAAGCTGCTGGAAGATGCGCCTTTGGAAAGAGAGCAAAGCCAGGAAGAAGTTAAGAGATTCTCCAGTCTGGGGGACTTGGCCCCAGGGGAAAGAGGAAGTGGGTCCAAGGGGCCCGAGGGAGCTGGGGATCCCTCAGTCGATTTACAGTTGAATCCTGCAGTCAGTTGTTGAGGGGGATGGGAAATGTTGTGTGCTCGGGGAGGCTGAAGACACCACACCTAAACAGGACAGCCCAGAAGAGTCATGGAAACATGTTATAAGGAGACTGCCCTGTCAGTGCACTGGTCTTGGAAGTCATGAATAAAAAACTCAAAGGAGAAGCAAGGTGGTATTTCTTATACTTTTAGGCTGGGAAATGATCACCAAAGTGTGGGCGTGGTTTACCCAAGCAAGGAAGATTCAAAGTCATCCCTGAAGCCAGGACGATCCAGCCCCACCCCGCTGCCCACCCCACAGGCTTTCCCTGTGGGAGGATGAGGCACGGTGTGGTGTCTACTTGGGTGCAATCTTCTCAAGTAGACCACTAGGGGGCACTAGCACCCTCCTCTCTTCTGGAAACCTGCCTTTTAGCCACACAGGCCGCTCTAACAGAGCACTGACTGTCGCTGCAAGGCCACCGAAGGGACAGCCCATTTGTCAAGCAGCATGTTTTCAAGTGTGTCCACCACTAGCCTTAACTCCAGGCTCAAAGGTGTGAGCCCCAAAGCAGCACCCAGGTTGCATGCAGGTTTCTAAGATCCCAGAGGTGAACACGAAGAAGCTGGTAAGAACTAAGGGTGATTGTCGGACTGCAGGCCAACCTGGGATGACAGTTCACACCATATTAGGGAGGCCAACTTGGTCAGTAACATGGAAGCCATGATGGGGTTGGGGTTGGGTACAGTACAAAGAAGTGGCCACGCTCTCTAGACACGTGATAGCTTCACTTTCCAAATGAGTGGCTTGTCCAATGCCATTTTCAAGCTGGCTACCCAGAGACACCCATAGTTACTGAAGTGTTCGGGAAGCTCTGTGCTTTCCTGATAAGACGCACTTACTGAGTCAGAAAGAGCTTCCGTGGCATGGACAGTTAAGGTACATCCATGTTCAACACCGTCCACAGCAGGGGGAAGGCGGGAGGGACCTGGGACCACGGACCACATCATGTTCAACACTATCTACAGCAGGTGGAAGGCAGGAGGGACCTGGGGCCACATCCTCTCAGTTTGGATGGGGTTCACTAGTTTTACTGTTTTTTGTTGCTGTTGTCATTTTGTCAAGGATGAGAAGTTGTAATATATTTCCTCCCCCCCCCCCCCGGAAGGTTCTGAGGTGTTGAGTTGGGTTGAGAGTCTACCAGAGCTCCCTCCTCCCACCTGAGAGGACCATTCTAGACTCCGGGGATCATCGCCCATGGTACATGGAGGACGGAGCAGTGGAGATATGTGCCCCTCCCTTCCTCCAGAAAGCTCCCCAGAGTAAAGTGTCACAACCGGGAAGTTCCTCAGGGGACTAAAGCCAGAGGGATTCATTTCACACACAGAGAAGTATGTAGAAGACAAGAAAGTATCAGTGCTGGATGAGAAGGTGCCGGGGCCCCATCCCAGGCACTGACATATCCTGCTTCCCAGACACATCACCTAACCCAAGATCCCTCTCTGTGCCACCCAGGAAGGTTCCACAGGGATAGGAAGTGATGGTCACAGGAGGGGGTAGGCACCATGACCTTCCTGGTCCATGGACACACACAGAGGGGTCCTGGGAAGCTGACTGAAGGGCTCATTGATGAGTAGGGAAAGCTTTCCCACATGGTTGTGGCTGGGTACTTCTCAGAGAATTCCTTTCACTACTTCTCCAAGAGGCTCTGTGGCCTCAGGTGGGAACCCCAGGACTGGCCACAGAGGAAGTCTGGGGAGCCACATCTTCCCTGCTAGCTCCCTGTTCTCACTGTGTTGTCTATGTGCACTGACTTTGGTGTTGTAGGTGTTAATGAAAAGCAATGGTAACAACCCTGTGCGTGTACAGGGACGATGGGCCTTCTGGTCAGGGCGGGGGGCTGTGGTCACAGAGCTGAACCCAGGCTCCCAGGCCCATCCAGTGTCTCTCTGTGGCTGGTGCTGTGTAAAAATAACCCAGTGGCATTATTGACGAGTTATTATTACCCCAGCCTGGCTGTCCATGGCCTTTCTGAGCTGTGCGCTTGCTAGACCGCTTTCCTGCTGGCCGCCCTTGGCCTTGGAAGCCAAGCTGGGGCACTTATCGATCAGGTTAGCTCTCAGTGAGGTTCTCTCTGAAGAGGTTTCAGCTTTTTCTCTTGTAGCTATTTTTAGGGACCTGGGCTCCACAGATGGGGCCTGTCTCAAATGACTGCATGTGACCAGGCCTGGGAGGAACCCATGCTACCACTGCTCACGGGGAGCACAGGCTGTCTGGGTTGACATGGGGGGTTCTGGCTTCTCTTTCCCCACTCTGAGCAACAATGGCCATCACTCATGGTGTCTTGCCGGGATGACAACCTGGAAGCTTCAAGCCCACTCAACACGTTCTCTGGGTGTTTCTGACCTTTTTTGCTTAGCAATAAGGTCAGGGAACAATGAAATCCCACTAACCTTGCCCCATTTGAGAGCTAGGCATAGCAGCTCATGGCTGTACTCCTGGTATTCTGGAGGGAGTGGAGGAGGATTATGAGTTTGAGGCCAGACTAGATGATACAGAGAGACCTGGTCTCAAAGAAACAAAGACAAGGGCTGGTGAGATGTTAAAGGTACTTGCTACCAAGCCTGACACCCTGAGTTCAATCCCCAGGGCCCATATGATAGAGAAAACTGACTCCTGCAAACTGTCCGCCAACCTCACACACTTGCTACTGCATGTGCCCCTCCCCAAAGACGTGATAAATTAATTTTTAAAAATCCTTGACCTCTTTTTAAAATATAGATTGTGTTGGGTCACTGCTAGCTGAGGGTGTATTGGCAGCTTCCCTGGCTGACTAGCTGAGTTAGATGCAAACTCACAGAACGGAAGAGAAAGCTAGCCAACTGTCAGGATTTCCCTGTATTCTGAGGGGACCACTCCGGAGACCTCAGGGCAGGATATACAGGTCAGCAGGACCTACCTCAAAGTGGATGGCCCCGTTCCCATCAGCATCGAAGGCATTGAAGAGGAAGTGTGCGTAGGTGGTAGCATCTGGAGAGAGAGAGGGCAAGGCTGGAGCTGCTCCGATCTCACACAGTCCTGCCTGGGCTCAGGCCCAGTGAGGGCTCCTCTCTGGTAGGTCAGAAGCAGCATCAGACCCTCCATAAAGGAGAGGTGGCTAGGAAGGTGGGGATGGTCATAAGGCCCCCTCCCCAGAGAAGGGGTGCAGGCAGTAGTGGGGAGGGGGTTGGCCGTGGACTTACCTCCCTGAGGAAAGAACTGTGAGTAAATGAGTTTGAAGGTCTCTTCATCCACCAGGCCCGTGGGACACTCCTGCAGTGAGAAGCCATACCTCTCAGTGGCCTTAGCCACTCCTGGCTCCATGCCTGACTCCACAGGGCTGACCTCTCTCCACCTTCTGGGAGGATGAGGTGCCCACTATCTGAGGAACAGTTGTGCCCCCTGAGCCCTGGGCAGGCAGAAGGCACAATAGACAGGGCTGTGGAGGCGGTTCCCTTCATGCTGATGCTATCCCAATTGGAACAGCATTGGAGACCCTCACAGAAGAGCATGGCAGCCTTCACAATATCTATTCTGAACCATACCCCCCCCCCCATAGCTCTTCCATAAAATATGAGCCCTGAAAAGAACCCCATTTCCTGGGTAGGAGACAGAAGATGGAGAGATAGTCTCTCTCTCTCTCTCTCTCTCTCTCTCTCTCTCTCTCTCTCTCTCCTCTAATGGGGACTGGGGACACAGGGGCACTCACATTCTTGAAGCCTCGGTAAAGGGACTGCAGCTCCTTCTTGGTGAACTTGGTTAGGGCCTGCAGCTGGTCCAAGCCCTCTGGCTGGTGGCGCACCGTGGACAGCTCCAGTTCACTGTCACTGCTGTCTGGAGGAGGACACAGACCCAGCAGGGAGAGAGACATGTGGTGTGGGCAGGAACTAGGACACAGGCAGAAGGAGAGGGTGGAGGGATTCTCCTTGTGTGACTACCCTGTACAGCCATGCTGGCTGTGCACGGCACAGAGGGAGGGGCCGTGACGGAGTTGTGCCTTTTGGCTGTTCTAAGCTTCTGTTCCGCCATAACGTAGCTCCTCTATTTCTGAGCGTATCCACTTCCTCAACCACATGGGGAAGGGAAGAGGGAGGGAGACGTGAAAGATCTCACAGCAAGATACTATCTTTAGACTGTCTCTTCCATGCAGACCCCCTTGATCTCATCAGGAATGGGAAGGCACCCATCTTGGTCCACCCCAGCCTGATAAGCTTGTTATGTAGCTGGGTAAGGGCAAGGTCATTGTTACCATTTCGTTAAAACAAACAAACAAAACAGCACACCAGAATGTGTGTCAGGGTTGCCCTGAGGTAGAACGAGACTTCTGGTGATCTTTCCTAATTATCTGGTCCCCGCCCCCCATACATATTCTTGGGAGTGGCATGCATCTTGTTCACAAAACAAAGTAAAAGCTCTGGACGAGAGAACTGCAACCACCTGCCCCTTTGTGGGCGACCTGTTCTCAAAATGCTCCATCTTCTGCTGGCACAGGTGTAGAAGATCCTTTATACCACAACCAGGTCTCTACCAACAAGGTCGGCCAGATACTGTACAACCCGCCTGCTGGGCCTCGGGGCAGCCTGCACACGGGGCAGCCTGCACACACGAGGACAGCCTGCACCCGGGGCAGCCTGCACACACGGGGTAGCCTGCACACATGGGCAGCCTGCACACATGGGGCAGCCTGCAGATGGGGCAGCCTGCACACACGGGGCAGCCTGCACACATGGGGCAGCCTGGCCTCATAAGCACCTGATGTTTCCCTGGCCAACCACATACCCTGGCTCCTAGGTGAAGGTGTTTTCTTCCCCCATCTCTCACGTTTCTGTGTTTCTGCTTCATTGAGAACACCGGTTCTCAACCTTCTTAATGCAATGACCCTTTAACACAGTGAACCCCCCCCCCCAACCATAAAATTATTTTGTTGATACTTTATAACTGTAATTTTGCTACTGTTATGAATCATAATGTAAATATCTGGTTTCTGATGGTCTTAGGTGACCCCTGTGGAAGGGTTGTTCCACCCACTGAAGGCCTGAGAACCACTGATTTAGAGGCTGCACCCAAGGGGAAATTCCCCAAAGTGCTTTCCAGACAATGTCCCTGTATGTTTTCCCTCCTGCTCCATGCTGCGGTGCCCTGCCCCTGATTAAGGCGAACCCTCCCATGTGGGCAGTGGGTCCCGGGACTCAAGCCTGAACTCCCCCATCTCTTCTCCATGTCTTTTCCTTTCTTTCTGGCCATTCCCATCTTCATATGGATATACTGGACTCTAAACTGTCTTGTGATCCTGAACTTGAATGCAGCACCTTACGCAGGTTGGGTGAGCGCTCTACCACTAATCTATACCCAAGCCCTAGAACCACTGTCAAATTTGGCTTCCTATCACATGAAGCCTTGACAAGTCACATGTGAGCCTGCAATGCCGCTCTGGTTGGTGTCCCCAGATAGGGTCACCTGTACAAGGAAGCTCCCAGCAACAGTGAGAGTTTTGTTGTTTCACTTTTTTTAAACAGATGGGGGAGCCATCTTTGTCTATCATAGCAGGACGGGCAGACAGATGTGGAGGGCACACCCCAAGGAGGAGCCTCCAGTGTGAGCTGCACAGAGCAGCCCGGAAGCTGGAAGGAAGGGCTTGCATTCTTTAAGAGGGAGGCTTTTTAAATTTTTATAGAAATGCCCAGTAACATGCTTTCTCCAGAAACAAAATTCAGAGATGAAAGCCCAGGCTGGTGAGACTAAGATGGGAGAGGAAGGATAAAACATCAGAAATTTTATGATGAGAAGATCACTTCATCCTGAAGATGGAATAATACAAAACATACTACATCACTTAAACATAGCTGTTAAGTATCTGAAGCAAAGTAAATAAGTAAATAAAAAAATCAGAACTCCAGGGAGGAACAAATACAGCACAGCCACATTTGAAAATATAAACATTCTTTTTCAGCAACTGGCACACACAGATATAAAAGATTCAGAAACCACTATCAACCAATTTGATCTAATTAATATTTATAGAACACTATACAGAGATTGTAGAATATACTTTCTTTTCAAAGCCTACTCTGCGGTTGCCAGGATATACCAGATGCTGGTACATAAAACGGATCTGACCATGGTGGTAATAAGTTAAAATTCAAGTAAATGTTTAGAAAAATCTTAAGTGTTTGAAAATGAAACAATACACTTGTAATGAGCCCACAGGTTGGAGAAGGAAAAATTACAAGGTGAAGTTTGATCTGAGTGATAGTGAAGACACAGACTGTCTAGATCTGCTGAGTGTGGGGAAAGTTGTGTCCAGAGAGAATGTCATAGCCTTTAAGTTCTTCTATCAGGCCAGGCGTGCTGGCACATGTCTTTAATCCCAGCACTTGGGAGACAGAGGCAGGCAGATCTCTGAGTTCAAAGCCAACCTGGGCTATAAAGTAAGTTCTAGAACAGCTAGGACTGCTACACAGAGAAATCCTATCTTTAAAAACAAAGAAGGAGGAGGAAGAAGAAGAAAGAAGATAGGTACCCAGGCACAGTGACCCATGATTGTAATCCCAGCACTCAGGAGACTGAGGCAGGAGGATAGTCCCCAGTTCAAAATCAGACTAGGCTACAGTTCCAGACCCTGTCTCAAAACAAACAATGACAACGACAAAACAACACAGATGATAATAATGACAGAGAAAAGAGGAGTAGAGCTCAAGAAACAATGAAACAAGTCAATAGAGAGAAAAACCAATAAAGCCACAATGAAATCCAGTAGGAAGTAATAGGCTTGGAAAACTTATCTCTAGTGCATACATCTGGTAAGGACTCATGTCCAGAACATGTAACGAACTCTGTAAGCCAACACTAATAGAACTGATAACTCCACCTTCTTGGAGAGAAGACATACAAATGATCAGCACAAGACCTGCCTTCAGCATCAACCTAACACTCAAAGAAATGCCAAGGAGCCAATGTAAGTGGCAAATCATCCAATCCTCTGAGATGCCCATGAGATGGATGCACTGAATGTTGGTGAGGGTGGGACTCTCCCAGGAGCTTGTGCTGTGTTACAGTGAGTATAACACGGTGTACACAATGGACCACTGCTTGGCAGACTTATGGCCACAATCACATGGGACAAATGGGGATGCACAAAGTCCACAGGAAGACTTGGGCAAGGCTATTTAAGGAAGCCTTGATATTCTTAGTGTTTCCAGCGGCAAAACTGAAAGTCGCCCCATCAGTAAAAACATGGAAGTGTGGCCTATTTATTATAAAAGAATAATATTCTCTATTAAAAACAAACAAGGATCCATTCATATATAAAAACACAAAGCCATTTCAAAATGTTAAGACAATTTGCTCTAGACCAGCCTGATGACCTAAGTTTGACTCCCGGGAACCCAATCTGTAGGTCAGATATCCTGCATATCAGATATTTACATTATAATTCATAACAGTAGCAAAATTATAGTGAAGTAGCTATGAAACAACTATGAAGAACTGTATTAAAGGGTCACAGCATTAGGGTGGGTGAGAACCACTGCTCTAGACCCAAGGAAAAGCAAACCCAGATGTACGTGGACAAAGCCTAAAACTAAGTGCGTGAAGATTAACCAGGTCTGGGACTATCTGCCATGGGCCTGTGCATTGTGTGGGCCATGTGTGTGCAGGTGCCCACAGAGGCTAGAATAGGGCCCAGATTCCCTGGGGCTAAAGTCACAGGTGGTTGTGAAAGGAAGGGGAATAGGGAGGAGAGGGAGGGGGAGGGAGAGAGAGAGAGATAATAAATTTTTTAATGGCAAAGCCGGGCATGGTGAGGAGGGGGAGACAGTGTGCAGGCTGAGGTAGAAGGGTTGTGAAGGCCAACCAGGGAGACAGAGTCTATGAGACTGTGTCCGGAGAAACCAACAGGGGCCAAGGTGTCCCTGCCCCTTTTAAGGTCAAGCAAACAGGTCTCAAAGGGCCACCAGTGATCCCCACACCCTGATCAACACAGAAACCTTGGTCTCAAAACCTGGTAACAGCAACATCAGGAGGGAAGTGGAGCTGCCCTTCACTCTGGAGGACAGATGCAAAATCTTGACGCAATGTTTGCTAGCTGTGCTCAGCATTTTTTTGAAATTTTTTTAGTGTATGATAATTAAGATCTGGGTGATTAGAAGAAGGGAAAATCATACGAAAATCTTACTGATAACCAAACGTGGTGGTGTGCGCTTGTGATCCTGGCACTTGGGAGGCAGAGACCAGAGGAGCAGGAGCTCAAGGCCAGCCTCGACTACAGAGCAAGTCAAGGCCAACCTGAGCTACGTCAGCCCGTGCCGAGAGAACTGAGGAGGTTGAGGCGGAAGAAAAGGGGGAGGAAGAGGGAGAGGAGGAGATGAATTCATGAAAGATCAATAGCAGCTCTCTGCAACAGTAAGCACTAAAAATAACAGGTAACACCCGCGCAGGCAATACAACTAAGCCACTGAATTAGTAAGGGAAACTCGGAGGACCTCTACAGACAGATACACAACCATGCAGCATGGGGCCATGTGGTAGTAACAAAATACTACAAAGATGGATAATACTGCAAACACAGCATTTCTTCTTAAAGTCATATATATATATGCAATCCCAATAAAAAAATCCAGGGTGGGGATCTGGGAAGATGGGTCGGTTGGTAAAGTGATTGCTGTGCCTCCAGTACCCACATAAAAACACAAGTCAGGTGGCTCATGCATATAATCCCCATTCTGGAAGGTGGAACAGTGGGATTCCTGGGACTCTCTGTCAGCCAGTCTAGCCTACTTGTCTGCTAAGAAACGCTATCTCAAAAACAAGGTGGCTGATGCATGAGGGATAACATC